CAACTTGGGCCCGAACTAACTTAGGGTATATCACTGCTAGCTATGCCCTATCTAACCATCATATCCCCGACTGAAAAGCTTTTTGACACCTCGGATGGTTCCCTCGTGAGAAAGAATGCTATCTATCATTACTACTTTTTCAACTAGAATTCAATTAAAGTTGGGCATAACCTAACAAAAAATACATAAGATCAGTTCTTCAAAATCCACTATTCGTTTTTTTTTTAAAAACTCCGTTTAATTTTTGCGTAAATCTCAACTTGCCAGGTCAGTGATGCTGTAGCTCGAATTCGTAGTGAATCTAGTGATTGGATGCAGTTCCGATGGAAAGTGTCTGAAACCGGACCAAACTGGTCATCATATCTGATTATTGTATTACTACTTCCAAGTTCCTACTATTTTCACGTGTTTTCCGATTTGACATGATTCGTATTTCTTTTTCTTGGTTTGTCTTACACATGTACTTAATTAATCACATTCATTTTTGTACAAAAATATCGGAATAAAAAAATAAAGCAGAATGTACATGCATTGCAACTGAAATGAAAATAAAATCGAATTCTATTCGTCTGAAAAAACAAGAGTTTGTCTCTTTCACAATGATGCTAAAGGAGTTACCTTTACCAAGTTCGCAATAGATTTGATTTGTACAAAATAAAGTTCTACTGTGTCAAAGATATTGGAATGAAACTTAATGATGAGAATAAAATCAAAATCGATTGAATTGATGTTCAACATGTAGAAATACTTCTTTGAAAAAAACAGTAATAACGATCAATTAAGTGTGAGTGTAGTGACGTAGTTAGAAAAAGATTTCTCATAATGTTTCTGGCAAGGATACAAGTCATTGGTAAGAGTAGAATTTAAAGTTTTTAAGGAGACTGTACCACTATTTGAGTGAGAACAGAATTCTAATCGTGATTTCTTTCTTTTCTTATTAGAAATAGTTATCTATCATGTTGCTTGAAAAGCTAATGTTTCATCATTTGTTATATTAGTGATTAAATATCTTCTCTACACTGACTTAGTGTTATCAAGTAATAGAATGTTAAAAATACATTATTAATTTTGACCAAACTTGAGCGTTGAAACTCATTATTTTCTTAACTTCTTTATTTCAAGTACTTCATCTACAGGTTAATTTATTGTTTTTTTTTTTAAATAGTCAATTTATTATTCTCAATTTTTTGTTTTTGCAGATAATCACTAAATTTATGCGAAAACAACTTGAAAAAAATTTCTATTCATAGATAAGATAATTTCCAGTAAATAATTTATCATTATTATTCATTTCGATCATTTTATATACAAATTCCCATTTATATGACTCACTCATCTTAATGAAGTTTTCTCTGTCACACACTGACTGACACGAAAAAACACACGCACAGAACGAACGAATAGGAATATTGTGAGAAATGAAAAATGTCCTTTTTTGACTAATGATATAAAAATAAGTGTGACTTTGTACAGCCATCGTATAGCATGTTTTTAGTGCGTGCGTCATTTGTCATGGATTGAGTAATGAAAGAATTGCACAAGTAATATTCCAACGAACGCTTCCGTTCTTTTTTTTGCCTATAAAAATGAGTGGTGTCAGAAGAATACAATACTTTCATTCGACATCACAGATTTTATATAAATATAATTCACATTTAATTCATGGTACGTAAATATGACACACAAATCAACATTGAATAGCTAAAGTCAAATAAATCTTGCCTTGAAAGTTCGAATATTTTTACTCAGATTTTCATTTCAGTCGTTATATCAAAGATGATGCTACAGATATCAACTCCCCATATGTTTCATTACGATCAAACTACGACGCAGTTACGCCGTAACTGCGACGCAGAATTGGCTATACGCGTAACTGCGACGCAGAATTTGCTATACGCGTAACTGCGACGCAGTCGTTAAAAAAGTGGCGACATGGGACATTATTATTTCTTGTATGATGATCGCGATCTATAATAGCTATTAAAATTGAACCATTTGATTGTAAACTTTAAAGTCGACCGTAAAAATTATTTTTTCTGCTATACTCCATGAATGAATATTATGAAAAATAAAATCATTATCAATCAAATTTTTTCATTATAGGCTAAGAATTTCGTCGATAAAATGGAACGAAACGAATCAGGATTTCAATCACGAGGACAGATGCTTGATTATTTTCAAGTAAATCTATTGCTGCCGTAGGTTTTGATGTCAATTTTGCTAATTTTAGGCTGTAACTTGCTTCAATTTTGAAGATTCACTTCAGTTTCTTAATCAATACCAATGGGACTTAAATGTAAGTTACATTAACATTTTTATAGAAAAGAAAAAATACTCATTTAACAACTTGCAAGCTGAAAAAGCCAGAGTAAAATAAATTCAAATGTATCTAAGAAAATTTCTCATTTTTAAAATCACTTTTATCATCAAATCAATCTATTCTTGTTTCTTTTTTCAGAAAGCAATACGAAAGTTCTATAACGAAAATGGTAAAGTTTCATTAATTTTTCTCTTTTTAAATAACACATTGTTATGTTATGCATTGCGTGAAGTAGGTCTTACAAACAGTGGTAATCAAGCCTTGACTAGTATGCTTATACGGGAAAAAAATGATGAACACCTTGCTAATTTTATTGGTGAGTCTGCAAATGATCCAAAAATCCAAAACGTAAGTATTATTTGAATATTCCATAAGGATAAAAAATTTTAAAAAGAATACAATTATTTCTGTTTTGAACTTTGTTAGGACATCTCCAATCTTATTGTGATGGGTGAAATTAAACGAATTGCTCTTGTTGCTCATGATAATAAGAAGACAGAATTGATTGAATGCCTCCGATCACATCGTGATGTACTTGCTAAACATAAATTGTATGGTACTGGTACAACTGGATCATTAGTAGAAAAAGAACTTAAAATACCTGTAACTAAATTTGAAAGTGGTCCAAAAGGTGGTGATCAGCAATTAGGTGCGAAAATTACTGCACGAGAACTTGATATTCTCATTTTTTTTATTGATCCTTTGGATTCTCATCCTCATGCCTCCGATGTACAAGCACTTCTTCGTTTAACTCAAGTTTATGGTATTGTCTGTGCTACAACTGCTGCTACCGTCGATTTCATACTTAGCTCAGCAAAGATGGATGAACCGCATGTACGAAAAATACAAACAGGCCAAACTTCGAAACCAAAATAAAAACTCGTTTGACGTTGAGGCATATTATATTGTAATGATGATATGGGTATTAACAATGCATACTAACACTCCGTTTGTATAGTTAATAGTAATAAAAACTTGTCAGTGCAACTTTATTGGGATTGAAATATGGAACTCACATATGGGTATTTCCACCGGATGTCGCCAGCCCATCCGGCGACCTCGTCCAAATCTAATGCAACTTTCAGAGTTTGTAGAGCTTTCTGCGCTGATCATTTGGTAACAACATTTTTAGAGTTAGACCTCATTTTCGCAAAGATACAGGGCAAATACTATTAGCACTTTTTTTGCATTTTTGTCAAAATCAATGCAGCATTTGATAGAAAAATCGATGAAATTCCACTTTTTTTCGATCAAATTTTGAAATCAATGACATACTCAGATTCCTCGTGAGAAGCTGCACTAGAATTCATAGGAATCGAAAAAGTTTTCACGCACTTTTGTGCGGTCCTGTTGTTAACTTTGTGAGAAACATTGTTGAAAAAGTTAATCAGAAAGTTGGAATGAACCAGAATGGTGGTATTAGCAGTTCGATAGAGCAAAACTTGCTCTACAACGTGAACTATTTACTTTTCTCCACACATTCGATTTGGAAAGCAGCGGTCGTCAAGGA